CTCCAATGGATGATAACAACACAGATCCTTTTCAACATCATATGAGCACCATACACACCGAACCAAATTCTCTATAACCGCCTCCAATTTTCGTAAGATGCATATACAATTTTCTTGATCTGTGCACTAAACTTATCGAATTAATTGGAGTAGATAACTTCTATTACAAATCATCGACAGATTGCTTGGAAATAAAGACAAAAATCCCTGACTCGTAGATAGCTTTGGTCTACTTTTTGAGAGACCAGAAAGCTAAATTTCATACTTTTCAACATAAGGAAGATAAACTAATACGAGTATTGATTTGGAATCTTCATCCAAAAATTCCAACTGAATTAATCAAATCTGAACTTGAAACCCCCATCTATTTGAAGTTAGACAAGTTTCAAGTGTTCTGTATAAGATAAATAAAAATCCAATACCTCTGTTTTTCTTGGATCTCGTACCAACTGAACAGTCGAATGACATATACAAACTCACGTCACTACTTCATATAATAATAAAAGTGGAAGAGCCATACAAACCTAAAATCATAAGTCAGTGCTTAAACTGCCAAGAATATGGACACACCAAATCTTATTGCGGTTATTCGGCACGCTGTATCTGCTGTGGTGCTCATCATATGACATACGAATGTCCAAACTTCCGGGATGCCCCTCCAAAGTACACACTCTGTTCCGGAAACCATCCGTCAAGTTACAAGGCTGTACGATCTAAAGAAATATCCAACGACGCTAAAAACCAAAGCCAAGTAATCAATTATTTAATAATTTTAGTAAAAAAAATTCTCATGTATAAGAAACCCAACCAGTGAATCACTCATCAATACACTCACCTGTCTAGAATTATATTTATGCTAAAACTACTTCCAAATCTCACGCCAATGACACAGTTCCTCTTCCAGATATAAATATATTCATTGCAAGTTTCATTTTTTTTTTTCATTTTTTTTTTTCAACGAGTTCAAAGAATTAATTAATCCTTTAAAAGCCCTTCTCTCTAAAGTAGTCTCAAGTCTTTGAGATAAAAAGTAATGCTTCCGTCTACAAGTAACTCTATACTAGTTCTTCAGTTTAATGCTAACGGTCTTAAAAATCACGTAAATGAGGTTCAACTTTTTCTCCAGAATAAATGCATTGATATTGCGCAAATTTTGAAAATTCATTCCACTGAACATTGATATATTCCCATAACTGGGTATAATCTGCTTAAATTAAACTTAAATTTCATGATCTCGTTGACTAAAATGTAAATATAAAGGTTAGTTTCAGAACTACTCAGGAAATTGATGATTCAATAAATAAATTTTCAAATGTAATTCATACTGCAGCTTGGGATGCTACCCCTTTACAAAAGCTGCGTTCAAATTATTGTTTTTTATTCCTGAACATATACACATCCTGATAGCTAATAAGCGTAGAGCTAGCTCTTTATCTTTAGCTAGCGTAGCTCTTTATCAACACTCGCCTTCCATCACATAGACAACATTTTAATAATTTGGCAAAGTCTTTATAAAAAGTCTTAACTCAACAGAAAAACCAATCTTTAGTCAACTATATTTCTAATCTGTTACCTAATAAAAGCCTTCAGGATGCTACTAAAAAGTCCCTAAAACACACAATTTCAAACACCCCATTAATTAAATCTGATGATGGTTTCGCTTCTACAGATTCTGATTAAGCCAAACTTCTAAAAAACCACTTAGTAGAAACCTTCAGCTCTCACACTGAGTTACAAATTCCTCAGAATACCAATTTAGTAAAATAGTTTCTTTCTCTTCCTCTTTATCTACCTACTAAAGCTTTCACACCAAACGATATTAAGTTTGCTAATCAGAAATATAGTCTTAAGAAATTACCTGAGTATAATTTAATCACCGCAGCGGTAGCCAGATGTCTAACGTTATATCTATATTTATTTAATAAATACATTTAAAATCTACTGCATATAAAATAAGTATTAATAATAATAACACAAATAGTTCTTATATTAAAATTGTACCTTCAGTCTGAATCCTGTATAAAAAAAAAACAACAATAATCATAGTAGTAATAGTACCTATAATTATTTTTAAAAAACTTTAAAAAACAATTGAGATAGATAACTTAATTAAACAAATATCTAAGTATAAAACATAAGGTTGATAAATAGTCAAATAACAAATTCCAAATTTCCTTTTTTTCATTTTGGCAAATTTGTTGATTGTTTCATCAATGGATACAATAATATTTTTATGTACATGCAACAAAGCCAAACCTGTTAGTCTATGCTGGCCTATTCTTGATCTTAACCATGTTTTCAATTTACAAAAATATATTTTTGGCCAATATTTGCAAGTTAAAGAATATGAAAAAAAATATTGTTAGTTACTATGATTATTATTTGGGTTAGGGGCTTCTAGCTCTATAAAATACACAAATATGCATGCATTTGTGGACAAAAGAATGACTAAATACCTGTGCACAACAAAAAGTACCAGATATTATGTTATAAAATAAAATAGGCAAGTAATATTATTAAGGACTTATATAGCTCTAATAAATACAAAAATATACAATATGCATAAATGCATCAAAAAATGATTAACTAATAAATATGTGGTAAAAAAAAGTGTTACTTTAAATTACTTTATATTATCTGATAAATACTTCGGTTATGGTTGTAAATGTCTATAACCATAGCAATATTCATGAAAGATAATACCACTGTTCCACAACCAAAAATGTTATGATATAAGAAGATAAACAAAAATTGATACCCGTGACCAAATAAACATATTATTGAATTTATTATCATATTATAATGATAGACTAGTAATTTATATTTCTTATTATTTATACATACACTTTTTAAATAAATCAATGTATTATATTCAAAAAAAATACGTGCCATGGGGGGGAGAATTCCCCCCCATTAAATGCGCCCTTGGAAGCAACCGGAAATATACATCGAAGATGGCCATTTATAAGTAGGAAATCTACACTTACAAAGATTGGACAGGATTTTAAGTTATTTGTAGACACTTTGGGAAACAAATTTATGATTTTATTCATTTATTTTATGCAAATATAAAACATATTTTCTGTATATATTTGCTGCGTTTTTCGGAGAAAAAACATAATTGTAAAATAAAACATAAAACATAATTTCACATAATTGTTCAGGTTTGAAGAAAATATTTAAAAATAAAAATATAATATAACCTAGATGCATTTTACCTTTTTAACAGTTAAAAATCAAAATTTTCTTACAGTGAATCACTATTTTAATTTTATTATTATGCCAAATGCTTATTAAAATGTAATTATAACCTACAAACTTTCTATCTAATACCTTTAATTTATATTTAAATAAATACTCTACAAGTATACTGTATACTCGACCTCTTTTAATTATAAAAAAATTAATTATTCATGACGTATAATATCTGTACATATAATACAGTAAATATGTAGTTCGGAAATTTATTATCAGTAATCATTTGGTTATTATCAGGGCTCGGAAGTAAAAATATTTGCTTATTTTTATGGATTAACTTAAAATGTAGCAGAGTGCTATAAAAGTGTTTATCAAGAAATAACTTGACAATTATGAAATTTTAAAGTGCTTTTTTTTGCTTATTTGACCAGTTTTTTTTACGTTTTTATAGTTTTCCCCTATAAAGTTGTTTTTTATAGAATTAAAATTAAAATTAATTCTAATCTACGTTGTCACGTAGTTCGTCGTCATCTAAGGCATCGTTGTAGGGTTATTAAAGATATTCCAATGTGAAAATAGAACTGAGTGTCAAATGTCAGAATGATCAAGAACAGAGAGAACAGTTTACATTTATTTTTCAGAAAAATCCCTTAGAAAAACCATAAAATCCTTAAAGTCTTGAAATTGAAGATTTATTTTTATTTTGTTTGATTTTTTAGTTAGAATTTTATAGCTTTTTTTTTAATATATATTTTTGCTTAATTTAAAAATTTTTAAATGCTTATTTTAGTGCTTATAATGATATTTTTAAGCATTTTTTAAGCGCTTATTTTAATAATTTTAAGTGATGTAGGTCCCGAGCCCTGGTTATTATTAATTTTTTATTAGAAGGACGAATCCATACTATATTATATAATCGTTTTACAGAAGAAGTTTTTAACCTTAATGTAATTCGTTTCTATGGATTGATTATTTAAAACATTTGATAAATTAGAAAAAATATTTAAATCTAACCTGATCCATTCATTGTAAAACGTCACACATTTAGTAGGTACACGACAGAAAGTTTCAGTGATATTTATAAAGCTCTCTTAATTTTATTTTTTAGTATTATTACAATAAAAACTATATATATTATGTGTGATAAAAACAATGTATACGTTTTTTATTTTAATTGGGTGTCGTATTATAATGAAAAAATTTAGTTTACAAATCCTTACTTGCACATTAACCACCTGTACCACAAATAAGTAGTGAATTACCATATCGTGTAATCTAAAAAATGAATGAGTTTACATAGAATATTAACAACAGTATAATTTAGAATCATTAAAAGACTTTATACATAAAATTATTTTGGTAAAAATACAAATTTTAAAATTAACTAAGTGATAACTTTAGTGATTCAATTTGATGAATAAGAAATCGATGTATATAGCGAAAAAATAAATAATTGTACCGTTAAGTTTTTTCGACGGTTTTCTGAACCAGTCTGTTTACATTATATTCAAATGAAGTAGATATATAATATTATATTTTAAAGAGGAATAGTTATATAAACTATACATTCATTTATGCAGGGAAATAAACTTACATAACTATATCATTATAGTACGATATAGTTATTTAGGTCCAACTAATGCAAATAAAGTGCAGAACCCGTCGTGTATGCTGTTATAAAAGCGGCCCTCGCAATAGTGTTATTTAACAAATTAACTAACAATAATACAATATTAGGATCTTTAAGAAGTTAATATAAAATCTAGAATCTAAATAATTTAGGGATTTTTTTTTATTTTTAGTTAAGCCTAAGGGACAATCCATTGGTTGTGAGATTCGTTAGTGATATGACGCATAATCCACCATCTTTACTCGAGTTGTCTGCTAGATCAGTAAAAATTAACGACGTACAGTTCGGAGAACGTGATTTACCTTACAATCTGATTGAATACTTATCAAGCGCACATCATTGTGTCAACCCTAAGTGTAAAGGTTAGTAATATTCTTTCATTTTGTAATAATAATAAAAATACTAATATAATTTAAAATTAATATTTTTTGGTAATAAATAATCTTACCCTTTGATAAGGGTGTCCATTATAAAAAATCAGGGGGACACGTATGATCAGTGTCTTCGGAGATCGTTATCGAATAGTTTGCAATTAGTACCTATGAATCCCAGAATTCGTTATTCCGTGGTCTACGAGAGATAAAATTTGCTGAAAAATTTTTCTTTTAAAATATATTTAATATAAATTAATAATTATAATATTTATAGCAGAATATTGTTTTTCTTCTGAAAGTGTGTTTGTAATAATGTAATGTATTCAGGTGCAGATTCAGAGTAATTATTAGGGGGGACATTTTATATTATGGATATAATATAATATAATATAATAAATATTATAAATAATATAATATGAAAAATTCAATTATTCTGTAATATTATAAGTATTACCGTTTACCATAAATATTTTTAACACTGTAAAGGAATAAACTTTCAACTAAAAGTGTAAAAAAAAAATAGGCAGGTACATTGAAAAGAAAACTTTTTATTTAAAAACAATAAAAAAAATATTAAATTTAATTAAAAATTATGAAGCAAAATCTAATTTTCTTTTGGTTTTTGAAAACATGTCAATAGGTACATAGTTGCTGTAGAAAAAATATAATTTTTATCATTGCTTGGCATATAATATTATAATTTTTTTTTTGTTCTGTTTCGTGAAATTTTGGGGGGGCATCGCTCCCATGAGCCCCCCTTGTATCCGCACCTGAATCTAGTACTATTTAGGTATTCACGTAGAACTTCAATTATTTGTTCCTTATGAGTGAATTTTAACTAGTTCTCTAATTCTGATGAGGATTACAGCCTCCTCCCCATTTTCGCTTATAATATTTTAGACTGTCCAAATGATGCTTATCGATAATACATGAAGATTTTCTTAAACTATCTACTGACTGTATGTACTATTAAAAATTCAGTATATTTAATTTTTTTTTTTTTTTTTTTTGTCAGGTGTATTTTTCGACGATCGCGTCGAACATATCAAGTTCGTGGACTTCTGCGGAAAATACCGTATTCCGTTGCTACAGTACCTTTGCTCGTCCAAGTGCATAGTCAACCACAAAAATGTGGACGGCGATAGTACCGATAGCAATATGATGAGAAAAGTTTTGCTTGGATAAACGCTCTGCTACGGTTACTAAAAGCACGGTGCCGTCTTCGAGAGCAAGTGGTTGCCCAACGCCGTACCTACAATATAATTTATATAATATTGATACATAAAAGCATATACATATCCATACCTATTTATACACGTTTTAAATCAAATCATTTACACACTACAACTTGTATCGGGTGCTTGTGTACCTAAATCGCTTAATCTACATACAATAGAATGGTTTGAACACCTGTCGGAACGGAATATATCAAAGTACCAAGTAATTATTCTTGCGAGAGTGGGGATAATTTTACTAAGATCGTGAATATTATTCTGGCAACATCACTATTTTATTTTTATACACTTTTTTTTTTATATTGTGTACTATTTTCTACAGACTTTTGATGTATATGAAACGTATGATGATGAAATATATATTGACTGATACACGCACACTTGTTCGTGAAAATTAATCTTAACTGGTCTTATATTTATTTCATGTGCGTACGTAAAATGTACAATTTCGTCGCTGTGTACAGTGGTACAATGTCCTCTCGTTGAATTAAATAAAATAATTATTTATTTATTTTTTATGTATATATTATATATGCTATCCGATTAATTAATTTTATATTATGATAATAATAGGTAGTATTTACCAACTATTATCAAATATATAGTTCGTTATTCTCGAGGAATATAAATATTTTACAAGTATTTTGTGAAAAATTATTTCTATCTACTATAAGAGAAATGTTATCCTATCTGTAGTATATTGTATATCTACCTATATAATATAGAGTTGCTACCATTCAACAAAGTACTTAGGTATAGCATTAAATAAGAACGAATATAAAATAAAATGATTAGTTTAATTATTATTATTATTATTTTTTTAATTTAAAGTACTTATAGTGCTGTTAAGTAGACATTTAACTGTAGAGTAGAACGAGATATAGGTAAATGACTGTGTATGTTATTACAATAAAAACAAAATGTTACATCATTAAAAGATTAAGTGCCCACATACCTTAAGTATATTGTATTAAAATAAAGTACTTAGTAAAGATTATATCTATATTACTAGTTATAACTGCTCGAGTGATGATCAAATAAAATATTTTACAATTAATATAAACTATTTTATAGTGTTGAATCTTATGAATGACATCACAATTCTCTATTAAATTTGGTAAAAATAATTATTTTATACAACATAATTTATGTTTTATTAAATTAGTAATCTCTAATTAGTAATGATACTAAAAAACAGTAATTGTGTACTGAAATTTGATAAAAATAATTAAATTAGAATTCTTAAATCCATAAATTTTAAATAATATAATTTTATATGCATTGTTGTATTAAATATCAATTTACATCTCGGGTCATTTAATTTACCTCTCGGTATAGCGGTTGTGAAACAGCGATTTAGATAAATTTATTAAAAACCTTACCTACCTAACTATGCTCAGATCATGAGATGAAATTTGTTTGAATTTAATGAGAAATTTGTAGATGAAGTAATCTTGGAAAAAAATTTACAATACTACCTATATTTAAAGAATTATATTTTTTGGTCCATGTTATCTAAGTAAATCTTTTGTTTTTTAATGTTTTTTAATCTTTTCTTTTTAATGTAAATCTTTATATAAATCGTAACAGTACATTTATAATTTAAAAATAGATGTACTTGACAGATAATTCAAGTTTTATGTTATGAGTATGACTTAATTTACTTATAAAATACTACTCATACATAACCCTAAATATTGTCAAAATAATAATATATATATATCAATAATGAATATGCATTTGAATTTTTCAAGATTAATACATTTTAAACTCGTACTATTAATGAGTAAACCTTGATTGTATTTAATGTTCATTTTATATCTTCTAAAACATCGGTTCTTAACCTTTGTGTAGTGGCGACCCAAGATATTTACCAAATTTTTCCTGCGACCTTTTTATAAATAATATTCAATGGCAGAATAAAAAATAACTATTTAGTACTCTTAATCGAATAACATTTTTTACTCATATTACTTGTATTCATAACAAGTCATAATATTAATTACATTATATTTAAAAATAAAAATTTCTTTTAATAATATTGTATTGTTTTTTAAATAATTTTTAATTTAATGACTTCCTTGATCTTGATGTTGCTTTACCAATGAATCAATTTAAAGTTCTTCTATGGAGTTAGTAAGTGAAATACGCATCGTGGGTTCGACATCAAGCTTGTTTCTTGATTTGGTTTTGATTGTAGTTAATATCTTTATTACAACATTTAAAAAGATTAGTTAATGGCCTTTGCATACTCAAATTTCACTCATTTAATAACGAAAAAATATCTGATAAATACGCAACTTTTGTCAACCAAATTATATCTTGAAAATGGATGGATAACAGTGAATTTTTTTCTCTTAAAAATACTTCTATTTCAGTTCTTAATTCAAAAAATCTCGTTAACATTTTTCTCCATGATAACCAATGTATATGAGGTTTCATTTATTATTTATAAGACTTAAAAATAAAAATATTATACTAAAGTTTTAAATTTTTATTCGACCCATTTAAAGTTATTGGCGACCCAAAATTGGTTCGCGACCCTATGGTTAAGAACTGCTGTTCTAAAAATATAATATAATTATATATTATCGACCATCAATCATGTATTCTTGAGTTTCAACTAATTAAGATATGTTATTGATATAATCTAACAGAAAATTAGCTTGGAGTCATTTTGAATTCATTATTTAGATATATATGTAACTGTACAAAATAAGATAAGAAAACAAAAAAATCACAAACACAAGTTTATTGTTCATGAAATTGAACACATATAACTATGTTGTTTTGTTTGTTTTTGAAATAATTAGAAATAATTATAATCAATTTAAATTTATTGCAACAGTAGTATGAAAACAATTAACAAATGGTATGAGGTAAAATATGCAATACATTAATATGGAAATACAATTATTGAGCATAAAATAAAAGTATCTGTAGAGTTTTAAAAGATAATTTAAATAATTATATTTTATCAAAATAACCTTACAAATTATTTAAATGCATAAAACATTGGTTTATATTAACAAACTGGGTGGGTTTAAACATTTATATTTCAGATTATATAAATATTATATTAATTCGTCAAATCAACATTTATATGATTGAACAATTGATACTATATTCGTCATGATCGCATAAAGTATTTTAATAGATAATATGTTACATTTGGCTAAGTATAATAATGGTAGGTATACACCATAACAATAAATTAGTTCAAATTACATATTTTGATCTAAATATGACATAATAATAATGAGAAAAAAATTAGAATATTATATAATTGACTATTCAAATGTAAACATCAATACTTGATGGTACTGTTTTTAAATTTCAATGTTTTAACCATAAAAGAAAATTAATTTATCTATGATTTTAATGTTACATTAACTTTAAATAAACTTGCTTTTAACATTTTAAAATATTAAAAATTATTACAGTAGAAAAAAAAAATAAAATAATGCACACTGGATAGTTACATGTTTTTCGTTTTTAAAAATGTTTGAGAAACTCTTCAGAACAAATTCTCGCTCTAGCATTAATAGCCAACTTCATTTCACTGATCTCTTTGTCAATTTCTTCCATAAATCGAATAATGAAATCAATAAGTTTGTTTCTGTACATTTGTTCCACATGCATATTAGTGATTAGGAAAGTTATGTCATAACCAGGAATTGGTTTTCTTCTTAGTATGAAAAAATTTTCAGCTCTTTTCATCATGAACCGTGTGAATTTGTCACATAGTAATCGCTCAATCTCGTCACATTGTTTAATTGCTATACTAACACGTATTGAATTTATAGAACTTTCAATAAAAACACGTTCCCGTTCATTACGGCTGATTAACATTGGTGTTAATATTAATTCTCTGTTGGTTTGCATTTCTATTTCTGGTTTACTATGTCGTTCTACTACTTGCGAGTAAAATTGGGTTATGCATATGGCAGCATCTAAAGAATGCTTAACAACCGAAAGATAAGGTTTTAATGTCGTGGTCATCGTAGAAATCTATAAAATATAAAAATATAATTAATATTAGTAATTAGAAATCAAACATTTTATACAAAATTTGAATAAAATAAAATAATAGCATTATAATTTGATGAGAACAACTTTAAAATATATATTGGGTAAATAGATACATTGAATTTTAAATTATAGATAACGTTTGAAAGTAATATAATTATCGGTTTTATGTTACAATGCCATATTTAAAATTTTCTAAGGAGTAGGCTCTGATTTTATTAAATACTTTTAATTTAATAATACAGATTAAAATGAATAATGTTGTTCCTACCTAATATGGGTTAGGTCTTCTAACATTTTTAATACTGAAGAAATTATAATTTTTATATCCACTTGTTACAGTTTTAAATATGACTATTTAATTAACTATGACTATTTAAAAATCAATTATTTTAAAGATTATAAGATTAATTATCTCAAAATGTTCACCAATGATAATTTTATTGTTTTATTAAGAATTATAACTAATTACTTATCAATTTAGTTATACCATGTTATTCGGAAATGAATACTTTTTTTTCTATTAACTCCCACTTATATTATTATAGCATAAATATTAAAATGAAAATGTATGTATATTTATGATACATAATTTTTTATATTGTTTAAATATAGTATTATGAAAAGAATTATGAAAAAGATGACAGTAGAAGAGAGGGAATCAAGAAACAGGATTGTTTCATGGATAGTTATATTTGATAATACCCCAATTAGTTAGATGTCAAAAATAATGACATTTCATACTTATTTTAATATAAATGGTTCAATATTCCTCATAACTTGCTTATTAAAGAACTGGACCGTATTGGTATTGGGAATCCTCTTCTTTCTTTGTTCCGATCATACTTATCCAACCGTAAACAGTTTGTTAAAGTAAACGGGGTTTCATCCGGCTTATTTGATGTCATATCTGGTGTTCCACGGGGTAGTCATTTGAGTCCTCTATTATTTTGCCTATATGTTAACTCAATCTCCAGTTTCCTTAAAAAGGCTCATTTCCTTCTCTATGCTGATGACATAAAAATTTTCCTTAAAATTGAAACCAACTCTGACCGTTTACTTTTATCAAATGAACTATTCAATTTAGTTATTGGGTATCCGCCCTAGGCTTCTCTTAATATTAGTAAGTATAATGTCATCTCCTTCTCTAAATCACGAAATCCTATTCATCAACCTACATGCTTAACAACATTCTGCTGCAACGTGTATCTATTATAAAAGATTTTGGAATTTACTATTCCTCCTCTCTCTCTTTTAACCATCACATTGATATTATTACGGGTCAAGCTAATAAGGTTTTAGGTTTTATTAAACGTAATACCAAGCTTTTTTCATCACTTACTTGTCTCCGTTCTTTATATTTTGCTCTTGTTAGATCCATTTTAGAATATGGGGTTGTCGTTTGGTACCCATACCTTGCTAAGAATCAGCTGCATCATGAGCGAGTCCGGCATAAATTCTTTTCTTACACTGCATTTATACTTAAATTACCAAATCCTAATCACAACTATTCTGATATTAACAATTTTCTAAATATAACCTATTTGTCCTCACGGCACAATCATATTGATTTATAGTTCATTCTTCACAGTGCTCTTCTTGACAACTCTATCGACTCACCTGACCTTCTATAAAAATCCAATTTAAAGTACCTTCTCACAATGTTCGAAATTACGCTAATTTTTACATTCCAACTCTGTCTACTTCCTTCAGCCATAATCACCCAATTCATAGAATGCTTTGGCTGGCCAATCAACTGTGATTTACATTCACATCGTATTTCATATATTTTGCTAAATTGTTCTTATTTTCACTCACCAAATCAAGTTTGTACTTAAATCTATGCTGTTATTCATCTAATTTATATATGCACATACTGTATTCAATCTATAAAAGCTGGTTGGCGTTAATCTTATAATAAAATAAATAAAAAATATTGAGTCACATAAATACATAGATATATATAGACAATGAGACAATGAATGATTTAAATTATTAATTTTAAAATAGAATTCGAGAATATTTTAAACACAATAGTAATTGTGAAATCACGATTGTAAGAAAATTTAAAAACCAATAGTTACACCACACTGGAAGACTAATGTTATTGAATTCAATTTTATTTGAATCCAAAACAAATTAATTTGTTAATGATTAGAAAACGTGAGGTGGACAGAAAAATTATTATCTATGCTGCGTCTTTGTTGGATATGAAAAAAAAGAAATTGAAATATAATTTATAGTTATGTTATACGAATCGATTAAGTTCACAACAAAACGGCGAAACTGCTCACACAAATACGTGAAGAAACAATTTACTTACTTATATCTTCTGTAGTTCGAACCGTCGAGGAAGTAATATGCGTGCGAGTATTTAATACGATAGTCGACGAATGCCGGAGAGAACACGACGAAGAATTCCTTTTAGGGCAGCACAGGTTGTTAGTCTACGAGTCAAGCAGCCGGAGCCATCGGACGAGTGCGGTGTAGTAGAGCTGTTGAGCAGCGGTGCGTCTCAGAAACGATGAACGGAATAAATCTAAGACAAAATGTAAATTATTATATCTAAACAACTTCGAGCCTCATCCGGTTGTCGAGCGGAAGCGCCAGATTTTGAGTTATTACTTTTTTTCATCAAACTGATAAGTTTTGACAGCGGTGACTGATAGCGACGCCCACACGTAAATATCGCTTGCTATCTGTTTGCGTATACCTTGGTTGTAGTTATATACTATCATTGTTGTTATCACCTGGTTGTTTTTATGATAAATTCTCATACCTATAGATAATAATAATCTATAGCCGTGAAAAATCTGAGCACGCTATTTGTCATTGTCCTGTATTCTAAATCGTCTCATCGTAATTCGTTGCTAAGAATTTATTTAATTTTTATTACCCAAAGACAAACATTGGCTGTACGAAATGTTTAAAAAGTAAGTATAAACATATTCGCTTTAAACAGCTAATTCTATAGTTCGCGGAAACATCGAGAGGATAAGTGATGTCCGTTCATAATTAATCATTTCTTAATCCTTAATGGTATTTTCGTATGCAGTTAGTAGTGTTTATAGCAATACAACAATGTGATTTTTAGTCGACAGTTTGAAAAATAGATTTATTCTACTTTTTACACCTTTGTTAGCCTGTGATTTGTTTGTATGGCAATTTACTAGTATAACATTTTCATTTTATATTTTGCAATTAGGTTTGCTATGGAATAAACATTATTCAAGATTAGTGTTTGATTTTCTTTTGGCCAGGCCTGGACGGGAGGATACTGGTCTACCATTCTAGGTAAACAGGTGGCCCACAATGTATTATTTCAGGAATTTTTAAATGTGTTTGTCTCACAAAATTGATGTTTAAAGAGGTTAGAGGAGCGTACTTTCTTATAACCTTTATATTCTACAATCATGATTAGTTATGTGATGTTCTATAATCCATATCCCATGATACTACACAAATACATTTATTTTGTATTATAAAGTATATGCTTTAAAATAATACACAAAGAATTAATGGAGTTTAATAAAATTACATTATTATTTTTTGTGAATTAATTTACTTTGTTCTTGCACCTGCTATTTGATAAACTTATTTTGATAACCAAAAGCCAAAAACAGGTATCACGATAGAACAATACCACAAAATGTAATAATACAGTCATATGATCATGGGCTTAATTATAAATTTTATCAATTTATTTATTCTGTCATCAGTAATAATACTAATTATTATAACACATGTGTATAAATATATACAATATATATAATATACAACATGCATTAAACATGGTAAATACTAGATTTACTACTATAAAGCTGATTCAGACTAAATTTCAGTATAATATAATTTATAATATATATATATGTATAGGATTTTTTATAATCGTGCCTTGAAATCATTTAAAAAATATAATTAGGTACCAAGGTGCTATAAACCCCTGTCAATCTATTCACTATTTTGTAATCTCAGTATAGATTTTTTTCACAACCGCGGTTAGGTGCGGCTTACTGTGCTGTAGCACAGTGGGTCAGTCAGTTCTGATTCTGGTTATTCATTTATATGTAATAATTTCAGTAGATTTTATATTTAAAGCTATTTATATATTATAATATAAGAAGGTATCTACTTATAATGTGGTTTGTTTAAATGTTAGTTTTAAATTTTTGTTTTAGATTTGATGACAAAGATAGTGTGATAGGTATTCAACAGTTAAAGTCATCTGTTCAAAAAGGTATTAGAACAAAAATCATCGATCAATATCCAACTCTTGAAGAATATATTGATATGATATTACCTAAAAAGGATGCATTAAGAATTGTAAAGTGGTTAGTAGGTATTAGGGCATATTTGATTGATATTTTTATTTATTTATCAATGTAATATAATTACTGTCTAGCCAAGATCACATTGAAATAATTGTTAATTCAGCTGGCGACTGTTTATTTTTTCGACATAGAAATGGTCCTTGGCTGCCTACATTGAAACTTCTTCACAGATGTAACTATAATATTTAATTGCCTGTTATAACTTCTATATTTTATATACCATATATTTAAAGTATTGTCTTTGGTAAATTACAAAATTTAAAAAAAAATTATTTATACCTCTTTAACTTCAATATATGTATTTTATTTCTAGATCCATTCTTTCTTCCTAAAGAACAAGTGGATTTAGGTGCAATCAAATTTGTTATGAGTGGCGCCAACATTATGTGTCCTGGTTTGACTTCTCCTGGAGCAAAAATTGAACCTGTTCCACAAAATACAATTGTAGTATCCTTTATATCACATTCTTAATAATATTTATAATTTCATAATGGTTTTATAGTCTACCTAATTTTATATGTATTCATTTTTTTTATACTAGTATTTTCTTTAACTAATATTTAGGCTGTAATGGCAGAAGGAAAACAACATGCTCTTGCCATTGGAATAACTAGTCTTTCTACTGATGATATGTAATATTTACTCAATATTTAATATTATAATAAATTTGAAAATTGATTTCATTATTTTATTTCAGATTGAAAGTGAATAAAGGAGTTGGCATTGAAAATTGTCATTATTTGAATGATGGACTTTGGCAAATGAAACCTGTCAAATAATGGAGCTAAGTGTTATAAAAACTTGTAATAAATTATATACAAATTTAATTGTAAATCGTATATTAAATAAGATATCTCATCTTGAATCTGAATGAAAACAATTTCCAGATTATGAATACAAATAAATATGAGCGTTGTATTTATTAAATACAGATTTTTTTCTTAAGGGGATTCGATCCGGATTACGTTTTCTATCAAAATATACCTATATTCTGCCAATTGTACTGAACTGCCCAATGATTGGATAAGACTCATACAAACATATTTGAATTCGTCATGAAGTTGAAAACTTGAAAACGACTTTTTTACTTTTTTGAATTATTATTTTTATACTCTTAAAAAATTGATTTTAAAATCTAAAATAATATTAAATTTATAATGTAAATAATATGAAATTGATGAAATAATTTGAAAATGTAAAAAAGTCGATTTCAAGTAAACTTCATGACAAATTCAAATATGTTTTTAGAAGTTTTATCCGATGACCAAGGAAACCAGTATGACTGGCAAAAAATTGATTCTTTTCAAAAAAAATAGAACTAAATCATATTCCTTGCAACAGTGTGTATTGACTTGTGCATGCGCGTGTGGAAGTAACCCTCTTCTGCTAATCGTTGCCGCGCCGCTAATTATAGTGCCCGCATCGTTATCAATTTGTTTATTTTATATTATATTATACCCAAATGAAATTGGGTTAAATATTGCAATAATTCAAAAGCCTATAAATAAACTCTCAATGATAAGACAGGTAATTTTGTAAATGAAAATGAAAATGTTAGAAATCAGCTATAGTAGCTCATTCGTATTTGATTTTTAGTACAGCTTAAACATATAAAAATAAAACATAAATTCTGTGATATCTACATTATGCAGAACGTTTTGCCAAAAAAACGTCGCAGAAATATCTGATAAAAAAACATCGAAGAAATTTTTATGCACTTAAAAAATGGCGAGAAAATCGTACAACTGACATGGTAAATCAAAATAGCTATTTATTAATTATGATGTGTATGTGATAGCTATTTTTAATTTATTAAATATTTATTATATAGACGGACAGAAATGTTTCAGCATTGGAGAATAAACCTGGTTATGGAACTAATACTTCAATGTAAATCAATACATTTGTTTAGAGTTTTGAAGAACGATTTGTGCGGATAATCAAACTATGTTTAAAAATATATAATGAATAAGCATTTAAATGTTTTATATAATTCTTAAAAATAAAACTTGTGTTATATTTATAATCTATGGTACGTATAATCAGCGGCGCACGCGGGGGGGGGGGGGGGGGGTTCAAGGGTGTGTAACTGCCTCCCGAAATTTTCTCCTATGTCTAGGTTAAAATTTATAACCTATAATGTATTTAATTATAAGATCAATTCTTATGTATACTTAAAATGAAAATTTGAAATTTTTATTGATACCTAGCTTATATCACCCATTTGCAATAGAACGTATAATTCAAAAGATGTCTACTTTTTATGAGATATTAATATATATATTATATATATAAAATATAATGTTTTATTAGCTTATTTTCGTAGTATGTCGCTATACACATATACTCATATTATCTATCTATTCGTGGCTTGACTGAGGACTTCCACTCAGAATAGGCTTATAACTTATAATTATAATCTTATATACATTTAATTAAATTTTATAACGTAAATGATAATATAATTTTTAATTTTATTATTGATGACTTTATGATAAAATGTCGATTACGTCGGCAATAGTATTAGTAGTAAAAACGGACTATTATTGGAAAACTGGTTCTGCCGCCGCACCGAGGTGCGTGAAGTTAGCGGAAAAATTCGAGCACTAATTTCCGCTACTACATCAGTATTTAGTGCTCAATTAGTGCTGTTGAATGGTGCCATTTTCAAAATTAGTGCCAAGACCAAAAAAAGTTACGGGGGGCTTACCTTTCCTGCTAACTTCACGTAGCGGGCTGACTATCAGCACAAAAATCCGCTATAATACCAATATTTAGTGCTCAATTAGGGCTGTTTAATGGTGCCATTTTCAAAATTAGTGCCTAGACCAATAAAAAGTTACGGGGGGGGGGGGGCTTACCTTTCTCCGCTAACTTCACGTAACGGACTGACTACCAGCACAAAAATCCGCTTTAAAACTAAACTTTTGTGTTCAATAAGTACTATCTAGCTGCATTATTTTCCACATTAGTGCTGATTTTAAGATGAATTGCATTATACGATAAATGGAAATATTTTTTTGATATATCTATGATAGAAATATTAAAATATTGTACATTTTGGAAATTTTTACCAATTTTTTACAACAATTTTGTCGGTATAATGGGATTTGTTTTTTCATTCCACAACATTTTGAATTCTATTTAATACTTCACTCAAAAATTACAATAATCAACCGTTTGCCCAAATACAGGAAAGACTTATACATTATCAAACACGTGTGGGTTCGACTCATTTTTACAGCTTCTTGCTGTTGCATTCTGTGACAGTCTACATCTCCGAAACGCATTGGAAAATGCTGAAGCAATTAAACCAGTAATAAATTTGGCCCTTGAAATATCCAAACAAAATAACATCGGTAAAACCATATTGAATTCCCGATTTAAAATTTTAAGAAACATATTTCCTGCAGGATCGGGAAAATGGCACCATTCAACAGCACTAATTGAGCACTAAATACTGATGTAGTAGCGGAAATTAGTGCTCGAATTTTTCCGCTAACTTCACGCACCTGCCGCACCGATGTGATTAGCAACACGAGATTGGCATGGCATATTGAAAGAGGGTATAGAGTGAGGTAATTACACACTCTAGTGATCATTTACTTCACACACACTCTCATGGTGTTCACGCACGCGTGTGACAAGTTGCCTATATTCAACCCCTTAAAAACCACGGATCAAATTTTGATAAAATTATTATATTTTTCTTTTACTAGTATTATTGTTATGCAAAGCGGTGTAGTGTACCAAGTGATTTATTTGACACAGTTACACAATGCTAAGATGTAGCGGTGTTATTAGCAATATTAAGTTAAATTAATAAACTATCAAGAATACTTCTTATGGTATTACTAATATTTATTAACACTTTTAAATCAGTATAAACAAGATAAAAATGACTATGACAAATATAAGCTGATGAGCGTTTATACTGAATGACTTGATACATCTGAAGTTGGCGTTGAACCGGATACTTTATATATGTTGCTGATTGTGTCCTTGTAGGTTCATTTGGTTGTTGTAAACTAGTTATCCATCCCCTTGTCGATTGATACATTTGAATAATTATGTGGTTTTGTAATTCTCAGTTTTTTTCTTATTATTATTTTTGCGATACCCGCAATCTTTCTTCTCTATCATAATTATTAGATTGTTTCACAAATCATTCTTGATCAGTGATACATTAAGTTTTTACATTTACATAGAACTTGGTTTAGATTGTTTTGAGCGTGCATTATTTTGTTATAGTGTTAGTAATCATAAATACACAGTAGCTAATAGCGTGGTAAACAATGTTTGCCTAATGCAATGGTTTAGTCTTAAAAACCTATCAAGGGGCTGAGTATCTCTTGGCTCATGTATTTATGAACATATTTTATTTAAATAATTAAATTAATTGGCTAATTGCAAGCATTGAAAAATAATTGAATATGCACAATGGTAGATAAGTTCGGTATTTGAAAGGAATTAAGAAAAATCCTATAGGTAGTATAAATGAATTATTATATACATATGTATTTTTTAGTAAGGAGAGAGGGATGGGTCATTATTTAAATAGTTTGCTTAGGGTTTGAAATATGCTTGCCATGTCACTGATAGTAATTACTAAATATGTATGAGGCAAACTGATATGTTGTACATTACAGCGGTAACAATCAGTTATTGTTGATTTTCTATGAATCAATCTATGAACCAATCATATTCAAATTGTGGTCCTAGTTTCATCAGTGCACATACAGGGGTGTCAGTGAGTGCATAGTACCCTCCCAAGTTCTAAATTAGCACTCTCAATTTATTTTGAGGTAAAAGTATTATTTAAAAAAGATTATTTTTGTTTATGAGAATAAGTTTATTCCAGTTTTCATTGGTAATGCACTAATATATATACAGTAGGATATTGGATGTATTCAATATATCCAATATTATATTGTTTATTATAATATATTATATTGAATACTTGTAAAATAAATAAATAATATATTCTAACCTAACTAGTTACACCAAACTGAAAAGGCTAGCTGAAAACAGAAGAGTGGAGATCAAATATCCAATTGAAAAACCAACTTAAGGGTTGAATACCAAAAAGAAAAAAAATATAAACATAATAAATGATCGTAGTAATCGTGTTACATCGTTGTTTATTGAAAGTGAGTTCATGGCAAATATTTTTTCGATTAAATAGTGGAATCTTTTGTGTCTCCAAAATCAATGTTTGGTGCAAATTGTTTAAAAAATATATAATCGTGTAGATTAAGATAATTTTTTTTTTAAATATGTGATGAATCATAAATTTTAAAATGTTTATTTCTTTTGTATAATATTTTATTCAATGGCGTATTTTAGGGGGAGGAGGTAACACGTTATAACCACCCTCGAAATATCTCTAATTTTATAAAAACATACATTAATTTTAAGACATAGGTATAATGTTATTTCATGTCATCATTAAACAATTTTTACAGTTACAATAAATTAAACGATAACTCATTTAATATTTTAACTTATGTTTAGTCAACATATTAAAAAAAAAGTTGTTACTTATGTAGGAGAGAATTTAAAATTTAACCCCCACTCCCCTTAAAATATTTTCTGTCTGCACAATTATTTCAATTAATTATGATATACTTTTTATTCTAAACACTAAAAGTTTGATGTCTATATGTTTTTTTATGGACCTCCTCCTGGAACCTTCCCTTTCCGAATATATCGTAGGGGTGTTAAATAAAGACAAACTCCTTAATCAGGCCCGGGTTGTACGATAAATATTATTGCTTTTTTCTACGCAAATTTCTGATGAAAATGTTGAATCATTATCAAAGTAATTTTTTATTAAATAATCAGTAAATTTTGTAAGATTTTTATTTGTAGGTTGTGTTTTAGCTAATTCATTGGAAAAGCAATCTAATTATGGATCTAGAAATGGCAATCTAAATACATACATTAAGTATTTGCCTATTTCTGTATTTTGTACGGACCAGTTAGTGACTGATGAATAGGGCTCGGAACTTAATGCACTTAAAAAGTACTAAATATGCATGCACTTATGCGCTTAAAAAAGTACAAATATGCTCTAAAAATATGCACTTATATTTAATTATTTTACACAACATTTTCATTAGCACAAATATTTTTTTAAATTTGTTAATAAAAAAAAAGCAAAGTAATAAAAGTTATTTTTATTTATATTTTTTAATCATAATTTAAACAAAAAAATAATAAAAAAATCGCTTTAAAAATTAAAAATGTTCCTTGAGTAAAAAAATGCACTTCTGTCGAGTTATATTTATATACCTGAAATACATAACACAAATTACTAAATTAGAAAAACCACCAGGTACATGCCTAATTAAAAAGTATTTTAATTAATAATTAAAATGCATTGGATATAATTTTGTTCTTACCTTCCAGTGTTACATTGGACCACTAAACTTTTTTTAATGTTTTCAAAATTGAAATATCGCCGATTATCCACGAGCAAAGTTTTGTACCTTGAAAAACTACGTTCAACATCAGTTGACGTAATCGGCGCATATTTGAAGTAAGTAATATCGTCACCGGTCAAATCATCAGGAAGACCTTCCATTGAACTTTCTTGTCCACTTAATATTTTTGAAATATTAAGTATTGTTTTAAATCTACAATTTTTCTCCAATACATTATTGAATTTTTGAAATACCGCAACACCAATTTCACCCTCACAGTCGTTTAATTTATTTTGGACATATTTAACTGCAGATAATGCTTCGGATAGTGAAATATATTGTGTTTCAAGTTTCGTAATATATTCCGGTATAAATCCAAAATTTGAATGTATATATACTAAATTAGCTTCCATATTGGGATCTTGAATTAACTGTTGAGCTTCTTCAACAGAAATTGCATCTTCAGAATTTATACTTAGTAATACTCTACGTATATCCTTGTAATATTTGCAGTAATAGGAAGCTGCCATTATCCATGTACCCCATCTAGTTAGTATTGGCTCTGGTGGAACTGGTATGGCTGGTGCTTCACTTTTAAACACTAAAACACGTGAAGGCGCTTTTAAGAACACCTGTTTAACCCTGGAAATAAGTTTATCAACTTTCTTAAACTTTTCCCGTATACTTTCGGCTACTCTATGGATACCGTGTGCGAGACATATTAAGTGTAACATTTTAGAGTACAGTGATTGAAGTATTCGCCCAGCTTTCACCATGTATGGTGCGGCATCGGTCACAAACAATAGGACGTCATCATGACGAATTCCGTTTGGCCAGAGGACGAACATTGAATGATCAAAAAGTTTAACTATCGTTGAATTATTTGCTTTTTCCAAAACTTCGGTTGTTAGCAAATAATTTTTTCCCGGTGCGTCAGTATTTAAAGTTCCTATTATAACGTTAGCTACATATCTGCCTTCAGAGTCTGTTGTTTCGTCGATAGACTCCCCTATTTTATTTACGTTAATTTGTTCTCTTATATTTTTTATAGTTTTTTCGTATATGTCGTCGACATAAGTTTTGCGTAGTGTCGAGTCACTAGGAATTTCTCTTGACGTAAAATGATTTTAATTGAGGATTACTTATTTTGTAAAGTGGTATGTTTGCTGACAATAATGCTTTACACAAATCGTGTGAAAAAAGACACTTTTTCGGAGTATTAGTTACTAGCTGTTGAATTTCAGAATTTGTGTTTTTTTCGTTTTTTCTAATAATTGCTCGTTTATATTTCTCAGTGTTAATGTGTTGAGTGACCACAAATTTTCGATCACTGTTAACTTTCACTTCACATAACTTACAGAATAAAATACTTCCGTCGGTTTTGAATTTATTCGTACCATATTCCAAAACAAAACTATTCAAACGATTTTTCGCAGATTGTTTGGTTTTCGGCATTATGAAATAAAAATAATATAAGTAGGTAATTGAAACAAGAATGACGCATAGAACTACTAACTACAACAGATAACACGGACGTATAAGCCGAAACTGACAAAAATATCTAAGCGATAGGTCTATAAATGCTATTAACAATAGTCAATAATCATTGAGTTATTTTCCTATAAAAGTATTTATAGAAAATCGTCGTACTTCGATAGCAGCTGTTTCTATTTTAGATTTGTATAATATTCTATTTTAGATAAAGCTATCTGTAATAGTAATTTATGTATATATATTAATATTATATCATATTAACCGATAGGGGAAAAACAGTTTTTAATGTCAAATGGAAATTTGAATAATACGATACAAGAATATCTAGTAAGGTCTCTGAATATGAATGTATTTATTTTTTTATTTACAAATTTTCATGTTGAATCTCCTAATCTCCATAAATTATAAAATATGCTTTAAAAAATTGTAAAATTAAGAAATATGCTCTAAAATCTAAAAATCACTAAATATGCAAAAATATGCACTAAAAACTTTTGATATGTTTTTCGTAGTATCTTGGAATGAATTTCTAGTTTATTTAGCAATAAATCTAATGGTTCAAAAAAATCATGCAAATGCAACAACTTCCGAGCCCTACTGATGAATGATCTAATTTTTTTATTACTCTATACCTAGAGGCATATTTAAACTTACTTCAAGGGGGGGGCTCAATTTTTTCTTTAATTCGGGCTCGAAATGTACAAGTAAAATTTTTGGTAATATTTAAATCTGGCGAATCCTTAATATTGTGATTTTTTTTTAATCTAATGCCGGATCCACTTAGAATCGATTTTTGTGTACTTCTTTTTTAACACCTGTCTGTGTTTTGAAAGTTACGCTTGTGTTTTATTTGATTTTTCACTAACAATACAAATACATTTATACAATTATTAAGATTAGATCACTTATTCTTTCTTAAAAAATATCAAATATTATTATCATATTATTATTACATTTAAATTCATTACTATCTTGTTTTATTTTATCCTCATAATGACTTGTTTATGATAAATTATAATTTTTTTTTTTTTTAACATTTGATATCACATCTTATGCAGGAGCAGGTTTTATCACTCTCTGTGGAAGGGGCTAATGGAGGTTCAAGAATTTAGTTAGTTAATTTTTTAAATCTATATACAATTTTTAATTACAGAATATATTTTTGAGTCCCTCATAAATAAGTCATTTTTTTCACAACAGTGACAAATTTTAAATAGTTACGTTATTGGTATTGATTTTAATCTGAAACCATTTTAAAAATAAAGGTATACATATATGATTAACAACAAAAAGGAGCTATTTATTTATGAAAAAATATATATAAAATAGGTGCCATATTTATCAATGACGATTGACGATATTTTATAATAATTATTAATATATCAATATATCATAATACATTCGGCTTTGTATAATAGTTAGTTTAGTCCCACAGGGGGTTAATGCCCCCTTATACTAGGGCTGCCATACGTACCGGAAAACCGGAATTGTCCCCAGTTTTGGACTTCGCGTCCCGGTATTCCGAAAAATGTTTTCGGCAAGTCCATATGTCCATCTAAACGTTTAGAAGAAATGTAGTATTGTTTAATTTTTAATTTCGACCATTTTATCTCAAAGTACATTTTTAATCGTAATCGATTAACAATATATAATATAAACATAATTTGTAATTTACACATATAATATATAATATATTCTATTTTACAAAATTGTTTTTAAATATTATATTGCCGGTCAATAATTAATGACCATTAATCTTCAGTGGCGTATACGTAATATTTTTATGGAAAGGGATAATTTGCAAACAAATCATTATAATTTTTTTTTTTTACGTTTCTAACGCTCTCACACTAAGAATATTATTTTATAACATTTAAAAATCATATTATTTCACTTATTTCACCTGTTTTATTCAACATAGCTTTAGAAGAAGTAATAAGAGAAGCAAATCTAGATAAGGAAGGTATAAAACTAGGAGAAAGTAACATCGGAATTTTAGAATATGCAGAAAACATAGTCTAGATGGCAGAAAGTAAAAATAAACTCAAAAAACAATCAGAAAAATTCATACATTCTGCAAGACGAATAGCCTAGTGATTAACTCGGATAAAACTGATTCAGTTTAACTGAATATATGGTAGTTTAAAGACACGAGCAAATAGATCCCCGCAACGAGTGGCTAGAAGTTAATAACCACAAGCTCAAAAGAATACAGCATTTCAAATATCTTGGTGCAATAATAATTCATCAGAATGAAATACGTATGTAAATAAAAGCGATAATACAATCTGCCAATAAATGTTATTTCGGCCTGACAAAGTATAAGATCTAAATTAATCTCAAAATATCTGAAATCCCAAATATATCAGACACTTATCAAGCCAGTTGTGACGTATGGTTTGGAAACTTGGATCTTAAGGAAAATTGACGATAATGCTTTATTAGTGTTTGAAAGAAAAGTGCTGAGGAATATGTAAAAACAAATCAATGGGCGAATGGAGAATACGCAAAAACAAAGAAATTTATGTCAAAGGTCAAGCATTAAAGAGGATATTACCAAAAGAAGATTGAAATGGGCAGGTCATTCTTGGCGAAAATCAGGAGCATTGGTAAAAATAGTACAAGAGAATGGACCACTTGGAAGGCCGAGATTACGCTGGGATGATAGGGTCAAAGAAGACGTAGAGAAAGTGAGACCAGGGATGGATTGGAAGAATTTATCATTGGATAGGGAAATTTGGAGGCAAATTTATTAATCGATATGGTCTAGAAGGCCAAAGTCACGAAAAAAGGAAGAAAAAGAAGAACATTTAAAAAAATGTCTAGGGGGTCTGATCTCCACATCCACCCCTTGTATACATCACTGGTCCTCTCAATATATTAAAAGTTATATAAAAAGTATATTACTGAATATTGTATTTGTGTTGTCCCGGTTTAGCCTTATAAATTGATGGCAACCCTACCTTAGTCACTCCCTTAAATCCGCCCCTGATTTTATGGTTAGGTCTTAATAGGCCCGACGAGAGGGGAAGGGAAGGATTCAAAAAAAGCCCGAGACCTGACCAAGTTCACTACGTCTCGATCATGGTGTCGAGCTATTTATAGATCACCAACATGAATCGTGCTAATAATCAACCCAAATAATTAAAGCATATGCTGTATAGTTATAACGAGTCTACAATAAAGTGAGCACTAAAATATTGATCTAAAACATAAAAAAATAACATTTTCAAGAAAGACCCACGGGCTATAAATATTTATTTTCATTTAACCTGTGGAATAACCATGACTGCAATTAAATTATCTCTTTGGTATATACATTTAAAAAAAAGAGACACTAGATGTCAGTGGCAAGTTTAATACCTCGTGTGAGAAGTGACTGGATTAATTTGTCCCTAGGGCCCTTGATTTCTCTCCACGGCCCTAGGTCTTAATAACTAACTACGTTATAAAGTTTATTTTCCCACCGTCTGACAAATATTGGAAAGTGCTGAAGTGAAATATTTAATATACTTTGTATTACATTTATTCCAAAGAACACATTCATTTTTTGTACCTCAGATATAGTGAGCTCCATTTTGATCATACAACAATATCGAATATATAAATATATAATACTATTATAGCTATAATATTATATATTATAATTTAATAATATATATTACCCGTTTACCTATTCGTATCGTAAAATAATCGTATAAAAATTATTAAAAAATCATTTATTATAATAAATCATAAATTGTAATAGAAATATTTTGACGTCTCTTCGCTTAAACGCAGAAGCGTGCCTAGGGGGGGGTGTTCAACCCCCCCCCCCAAAAAAATAAAAATAATTGTTAATAAAAGGTTTACATAATATTATAAAATATATTATATATTATATGTGAAACTTGATTAGGTTTGGTTCACATGGAGGTGGTATTTTTGCATCGCTATCGTGAAACAAGATCATTATTTCGGGTCATGTGAGCGATATAGGTATAGGAAATCCGTATACCTATAAATACGCGTGATTGACTGGAGCGCGTGTACGATA